TTTTTCTTATTTCAATCAAAAGTTAGGCTACTCTATTGTCCTACATTAGTAATAATCTAGCTTATGGCCTGATGATCCGTTCTTTGTATAAATCTATTACATCAATGTCCCTTGGAAGGGACCGCCGGTTGTAAAGGGTTAAATCGAAACTGAAATAACCGAATATGAGTTATAGCCGAAAACATTTTATTTTGTGCTTTTAATGTAACTGTTCTGGTTTTACTGGTTAGTATTGCGTTTGAAAGAACAACAATAACGTAATAAAAAAAATGCAAGGCCTGTATTACATGGTAACAGAAGGAAAAAGATAAATTTCATGTTCTCTTTCCTTTCATCATAGAAGGATATAAAAACAAGCGTGCTGTTGTTTTCGAGACAGTCTGTTTTTCTTACAAATGTCTTGTGCAATAATGATAAAAGTTCGGCTTCTTTCTTTTGTTTTTTCTAGAGGCTATTAACACTATTGAACAGAAACTATTTCGATAGAGGAAACTGGATCGTATGTAAAGTAAAACTAACGTTTCAACAACAGCTGTATTAGGCTCTTTTAATTTTATACGAGAATGTGAGGGAAAGAATAAAGATGTTTAAGTTAATGTCAGCAATAATCACTTGTAGCACTGACCTTCTCTGTATAAATGTAATGATTGGTGAACCTATAATTCCAAGAACAAAAATCTTGATCTTTCTCATAGTTTTAGGTCATATGATAAAACGTGGTTCACAGTTTTGATATTTCTATGAATATTAAAAAAATGCTTTGATAATAGCAGAGTCATTATCTTCAACACGTGTCGACCCAATAAGAGCACAAATTATTTATTGTTATCATCTCTGCATTTCCTTCAATTAAAGACGAAATCTTTGAACCAAAGTCATTCTCATCATTCAATTCGATGGCTGTATGTGTGGCTATCAGCAGTGAAGATATTATAAGACATCCCCTCCAGATTGATAACAGTAAAATTGTTCCTCAGCCCACCTATTGGAATGCTCAGAATCACAGTGAAGATTCTTATTTACGCGCTGAGCATTGGATGGAAGATGTTAAAGAATGTCTTCTTCCCGGTCGTCATGAAATTGTCCGAATGAATTTGAAGTCGGGACAAGCAATATTGCGATATCGTGAGGAACTGAAAATGTTTGCAGCGATTCGCGATGAGAAATTGAACTCAAAGTCAAAGAAATCAGCAACTTCAAAGAAAACTATACAGATTGAATCTATGCAGTCTCCGACTTTCTTAGATGAACACTGGAAAACTACTGAAGCTGTTTGGCCAAAAAGTCCTATTCGTTCTAGAGTTTTCTCGAATATCACGTAGCTATTTTTTTAGTATTTCGCACCTCTGTTCACTCTACTAGTCAAGTGCAAATTTTCATTTGCTTGTCCGTTCCCTCCCACGTGATCATCTCTAACAAACCTTTTCAGGCGATGGACTTCAGTTTAGCCCGTCGGATTATTTTAGATAATATAGCATTGGAGATAGCAGAAGAAATTGAGAAAATATCAGCATTTCTCGATCTTCTAAGCTTGAGTCCGGGCTTCAAAATATGTGGATGGGAGAAGCTGTTAAGGAAATTAAAATCAAAACGAAATGCTATAGGCGAAGAGCTTTCGCCTTCAGATTGCTACGTTCTATGGCGAACTCAGTTCTGTACAAAATAAGCTGTGAAGCGCTACCTAAACTTCTACAAAATGTTCAGCAAAACGTGCTGGGTAAAACAGCTTAAGGTTTTCAATCCATTTTCACAGTAGTTCACATTTTTATCCGAGAATGAAGTGCTTTTATTCAAAATAAGTATTATATGCATAACCAGCGTTGGAAAAGCCTGACTCTCAAAACCAGACATCGGTTTAGAGGCAGGTTGGGTGGATATAAGTTTTAGAACTTATGTTTCTCGGATTTTTTCGTCAGCAATATCGGATAAAAGAAATCCAACAGTGGTTTGAACAGATGAACATTTTCGTACTCGATGTGATGTATACGAAAAATCGCAGTTTCCAGAAAACCAAAGCCTGTTCTTGGGTACCCTACTTCGGTCGGAAACTTTTTAAAAATAACTCAGTGGGATAGAGAAAACATTTCTAAACAAAATGGGGCATCTCCGAGCTCTCCTAAAGCTTTTTTTCCTCAGACGGCATTTAATTTACAAAACTAGATAGCCGTCAAAACTAACAAAACATGCCTTTGGGACTTTTTCGCTACAATTGTTTGCTCTACTCCACTAAGTTGTTTTCAAAAAGTTTCTGGTGGAAGTAGGGCACCAGTGAGCTTTGGTTTTCTGGAAACTGCGATTTTTCGTATACTTCACAGCGACTAAGAAAATTGAACAATTAATTCTGCTACCGGAGTGAAATTTTATAACGTTTCTCGTACATTTTGTTTCTCTTGTAATTTTTGAATGACAGGACACCAAGAGCTCAGACACATTAAAATTAAAAAGAAAAGTTGTGCTAAAGATTTTGAGAAATTCCTGCACTCTAAGCAATCTTTCATTCCATAAAATGATAAAGATACAAACTTTTATTTTCGAAACTTATCCCAAAAAGTAGAAGTTTGTATTTTGATCCTAATTTTTTTTGAATGAAAGCTTGTGTCGAGTGCGAGAATCTCTCAAAATTGTCCTTTCTCTTTACTTTGAGATGTTTCAGAGCTCTAGCCGTTTTGTCATTCGAAAATTACAAAAGAAATAACATGCAAGAGAAACGTTAGGAAATTTTGCTCCTATAGCAGAGTTAGCTAGTCAAGCCGTTTTTTACTTAGACTGTTATATTTGATTTGTTCCACCAAATTTCATGTACGGTTCGACCAGCTAATGGTCGTTCTCGTTCCAGGAAGATGAATGCGATTTTTTTTGCTTTTCTGAAAATGTCGCTAATATTACAGATGCAGCGACATTTATTTAGTTCAACTTCAAACATAGATAAGGTTATGACAAAAATTTAAATTCGGAATAGCAAATGACTACCTAGTGACTAACGCCCTTGTTCCATAGTCGTGCGTTCATGCTTCTACATCCTATGCCACGATGCAATATCTGAACAAGTCATATCTGGTGGGACGGACTCGAGAAACTCCGGGAAGATCTTGATTTAGTTATTGCTAAATTCAATCGCTCTGCATTCATTAAACTTTCTGTTCGATCACCCAAAGACGCAGTATTTTGTCTTTTATCGACACGTGAAATAATCCGCGAACGAATTGCAGCTTCAGTTGCTGCTGGGTGCTCTGAAATCAATGAATTAAATGAAGATGTCAGTGCCATTAAATGGGCTGCATGGCGTGGATTGCGAGTTTCATCGGGTGCACAGGCAATTCAGTTATTGCTGCGCTCAGATCGTGTCTATGTAGACATTTTACAACATGAATTATTTCTGCAAACACAGCCAAGCACAAGTAAAGAAGAGAATGCGACTTTCAATCTCAATGTTATCGTCAGAGAATTCTTCGAAGGTTTTCATCCGAATTGGGAATATCGGGGATTCGTCAGTGGGGGAATCCGTACAGGACTAACTGCTTACAATCCATGGATTTTGGATCCTCAGCAACTTGCAAATAAGGATCGTATACTGGAACTGATATCCAGTGTTTGGACACAAGTTGAATCGAAGATCATTAAAATTTCTGATTATAGTATAGACTTTGCCGTAGCCCCAACTTGTATGGATGGGCAGTGTTGGGTCATTGAAGTAAACGCGTTCTTACCTCCATTAGCAGGCAGCGGTTTATTCTCTATGCAATCGCCTGTGGATCGTAATATTATTAAGAATGGGCCATTTGAGTTTCGGATGCGCGATACTGCCGTATCAGAAAACGATTTTGTAGTCACAGAAACTGATCATGAGACAGGTCGTCAGTTGAAAATTATAATGCAACCTGCACCACCGGAACTGATGAACATTGTTAAGAAACTTCGTCGTGACCTGAAACATGAAAGCAGTATTCACTCGCCAGAGAAAAAGAATTGTCGTATATGTTGATCGATTTGGTGCGTATTAATTGTCAGTAGATTTATGGCATTAAATGCATCCACGCGTCGCGTTTTAACACTTTAGATTCACACAGTGAATAGAATCTCTTGGGTCATGAATCTCTTGGGTCATGAATACGTGCAAAGATAAATTGTTCATCTCTCTTGATCAGGAGTTATTGAAATAAATAAAACCCCTATATCTCAAAAGCCTCTTGGGGACAAGATTTATTTGCTTGAGTGATCAGCATCCAGTGAGAGCTATAATTATACAGAATTTAAAATCACTACCTATCGGTTATTGTTCATGAGTGGTAAAAGATCTAGTATTTTTGTCCGGCACTGTACTTCTCTCCTTTTTAACTTTCCTCCGAAGCTTTGCCCATATTTTAAATGTACAGGACATTAAAAAGCACCAAGTCAACTGACAGTTAACTGTCAGTTAATAGCCAGTTTACTGCCTGTGTTAAGGCCGGTTAGACCGTGTTTAGGTGGTACTTTGATGGTTTGGATGCCAAGGGGGAAAGCACGGAATCCTGAAATCCTGAAATTCTATGGAATCCAGTAGAATCCGGTGGACTCCGATGAAACTCGGGATTCTACACTTCTCCCAAAACAGAACAAAAGTGTTCTATATTTTTGGGAACTTTCCTCCAAAACAGAATAAAATGTTCTGTTTTGGCGGAAAGTTCCTGAGAATCCTATGGAATCCTGGGGAGTCCTTGGAATCCTATATAATCATAGGGAATCCAGGAGAATTCAGGATTCTAGGATTCCGTGCTTTCCCCCTTGTTGGATGCTCTAGCTTTACCACCTGAAATAGGTGGGTTTTTCAACTGCCTAACAACTGTCAATAAACTGTGATGTTGTTGAATCGAATTTTTCCAGGACATTGAAAACCTTCTGGTTAATTGCCGGTTAAGTGCCAATTGAAAGCCACTGTATTGGTAGGTTTTGGGTCTTTGAGACTGTTTTTACGTGGTTTTTTGATGGTTCGGATGCTCGTATCTTACCACATGAAACAGATTGTTTTCCAACTCTCTAAAAGCTCTCACTAAACCGTATGTTGGTGGAGCGAATTTTCAGGAACGGTTGGACCGTGGAAAGTCGGTTTACTGGCTGTTTCTCGATGATTTTTTAAATGGTCTAAAAGCCGTCGTTTTAATGGCTATAAATAGACTGTTTTCAGGCAGTTCGAACTATCAAGTCCAGGCTGTAAAACTAACTGCCCAATCAATCTCTAGCTTTGTAGAAGGCTTTTAGCTCGTTACGTCCATCACGCTATAATCTCTATCTGAAATGGAAAAGACTGCACACTGAATTAGAAGGTAGGCATGTGTCCGAAAACACGACTACAACTTATAAAATTATGAATCGTGCTGAAATTATTATTTTAACATCAGAGTGGCGGAAAATGGTGGGCGTTTTCTGATGATTTCGATGATGCTGGTGAAGGATTTTTATACGTTTGGCAGAGTTTTTGATTATTATTCTGATGTTCAGATGTGGTTGCAGATTTTTTTGGATCTTAGAACCTGTCCATGTAACGCGACACTTCGCTGATCAAGTTTTTTTTTCCATCGGGAAATCGATAGGAGCCCATCACCAGACGTAGTTTGTCATGCTGATCATGAATTCGGTCTTTATTTTGAAAAACAAACTTAATTTTCAAATAATAATTTTAATTTTCTGACCTAGAGATTTTCGTAAAATCATTTTAAAAATATACTGTAGAATAGACAATTCAATTTTCTACAAAATGGCTCGTTTTGTTTTAAGAAATATTTCTCAGTCGAGGCACACTGTGTAGGGAATTTGAACTCGCAAGCAGCCCTGAGAGCTGCTAGCGAGTTCGAATTCCCTACTCGATTTAAAAGCCTGAGGCACCTTTTGGAACTTTGATTGCAAGTGGAGTATCTTCAGGAAGGCTAGAACTACTCAAGCTATAAGTATGAAGTTGTTTGCAGAACGGTAAAATGATGTGACAAAAAAAAGTGTAACAGTGTCACGTTTGGACAAGCTCCTTATTACTTTTATTCATCTTCCAATTGCAAATGAAAAGAAGAAACAAAAAACTGAATCTTCACTCAAACTATCTCAGGAAAAATAGGGTAAATGCTTTATTTAAAATACATGAATATGTAGACCATTATAGTTGATTCTATAACTAAAATCGAATTTGTAAAGTCTGTTTCTGTGCTAGAATATACTAATATAAATCATACCAGTCACATAATACCAATCTAAAGTACCACGATTAATATTATTGCAATAACCACAAGTGTAGCAGCAACCAATACAGTACATAAAATTTGACGAGTCATATTATAGATAATTTAGAATTGACTGTTGGCACTATATTAGATGGTTCCTCGTATAATATTTGTTTAGACAATACGCATTCAACAAGATTATTAAGAAGAAATAGAACGTCATGCATGGTTGATTATCACGTGCTTCTTCACTTATACCGGTTACTTTTCGTTGAAATATATGAGTGAATCGCATAACCATTGTACCGTTTGAGAAAAAAAAATATGATAATAAAAAGTTTCAAATAAACAAAATCGGAGTCGTACGTTTGATAGAGCTATATCGATTGTGTATAAATATAATATTTTCCCGGTAGTTTAGAGTTTGAGAAAGCCCCGATACAATGATTTTGAAGAACTACCCAATCCGTAGTACTAGGTATTTCCACACAGGTTCGCCCACTTTATATAAAAGTTTCAGCGGACTGAATCTTACTACGCTCATCAGATAGAGCATGTCAAATTACATATAAATCGATATTTTTTTTACTAAATACAGCTTAGAAGAAATACTGGCAAGTCAAATAATTTTGCCGATCCATATAAGAATGAATAAGGATTCACGAGTTTTGGCATTTTTCTCCTTTAATCTGAAAACAAAATGGATCAATTTCTGCCGAATAAAGCAGCAAGAGGGCACTGACCAAGCGTTAACGAACGATTTCCGAGTACGAGTTTACCTTACTGAAGAAAACTTAAAAGTGCTAAAGTGTTAAGTAACTGAAAACCCTCTGCAATTATGTCACATACGGTAGAAAAAACTGTTCTGCGAACTTCTTTTGTACAAAACACATACGCACACACATACACACACACACTACCGAAGATCAACTGTATGTCTGTTTCTTTTCAAATCTAGGCAGCAATAAATAGTGCTACAAACGCTCGAAGACAGTGTACAGTATTCTCTCTCTGTTCGTTTCGCTGCTTTCATCTGATAAAAAATGAAAAAATAATGTGTATTTGTTTAAATTGCACAAAGTAGCTGTCACATGTTTTCGTTTTAAATATGTTTCATTGATTATACATTTTGTAACAACAGATCTGTACTAGCATATACATATCTCTCTACCATTTCATACATGTACCTCTACCATTAGACATTCAGCAAAGATAGGAAATGTAAGAAAACGTTTTTAGAATTTCTTACACTCTATATTCTTTCTTAGCTGATCAGAAGAAATAGAAGAGGTCAAAAAAAAAGACATCTTTATTATTCTCATTTGCTTCCAGACATACCTTGCACACTGAGAAACACTTTTAGTCAATCTTTTAGTCAGTAAATGTTTAGTAAGAAATAATTTATAATTGCTCCTCTTAATGATTCAACTATTTCTGAGCAAATACAAAAAAGATTGCACAGCTTTATTAATTGAATAATACTATTTCGAAACAAGACGACTGGAAACAGTAAACAAGGTTTTTATTAATTTAAATTCAAGTCTTTCTTTGATAAGAATAAATATGTGCTTCATAACAAGCACAAATGAAACAGGTTCTCCTGCTTACTTTGCTGTCAGCTATTATAAGTTTCTAATCTCGGGTTTTCCAGTAAGTGAAACAAGAAACTCTCTCGGAAATGCTATTGAACAAAATCCGAATATATATATTTTAAAGAATAATAAAAGTACATACCTGAGGATAACATAAATTAACAAGATCATTAACTAGTCTGTCTACTAACTCGTTCCCTACCTGCTGATGCACAGTGGGCATCCAGGCGGACATTAGGCGAAAAATTAAAGTGGCTCATTTCTTTAATGTAACTAGTGCAAAATGTAGCCCTTGAAATTCTCTATCGAATGGTGTATGGATGTCTATTTTGATGTCG